CGGCTGAGTGTGAAGCGGCTGGGATGAGGATCAGCACCTCAAAATCTGAGACCATGGTTCTCGACCGGAAAAGGGTGGCTTGCCAACTCCGGGTCGGGGGAGAGGTCCTACCTCAAGTGGAGGAGTTTAAGTATCTCGGGGTCTTGTTCACGAGTGAGGGTAGGAGGGATCGGGAGATCGACAGGCGGATTGGTTCAGCGTCTGCAGTGATGTGGACACTGAGCCGATCTGTCGTGGTGAAGAGGGAGCTGAGCCAGAAAGCCAGGCTCTCGATTTATCGGTCGATCTACAACCCAATCCTCACCTATGGTCATGAGCTTTGGGTAATGACCGAAAGAACGAGATTGCAGATACAAGCGGCCGAAATGAGTTTCCTCCGTAGGGTGGCCGGGCTCAGCCTTAGAGATAGGGTGAGGAGCTCGGACATTCGGGAGGGACTCGGAGTAGAACCGCTGCTCCTCCAGATCGAAAGGAGTCAGTTGAGGTGGTTTGGGAATCTGGTCAGGATGCCTCCTGGACGCCTCCCCGGGGAGGTGTTTCGGGCATGTCCTGCCGGCAGGAGGCCCCCGGGTCGACCCAGGACACGTTGGAGAGGTTACATCTCCAATCTGGTCTGGGAACGCCTTGGGGTCCTGCCGGAGGAGCTGGTGGAGAAGGCCAGGGAGAGGACGGTCTGGAGCTCCCTAGTTGGGATGCTGCCCACGCGACCTGGACCCGGATAAGCGGAGGAAGATGACGACGATTTATTATTTCTTTTATTTCTTGTAGAATCAAGACAATCAATAAAACACTAAAATAAATAAATGAATGAAAGAAGAAATGAAAGAACAAAACCAATAAATAAATACATAAAATAGTTTTTGAATGTGCTCGTTTAATGCCAAATTAATAAAAACTCCACGTTTTCTCATTCCCTGTTAAACTACTACTACAAACAAAAATTCTACATTTATGTGAATATTAAATTGTTTTTGACAACATTCTTCTTCCTCCAACAGGAATAAATGTATTTATCACATTCAGTGAATTCTAACTTAGCTGCAGAATTAAAAGGAATAAATCAGCTGCAAAAGGCTCAATTTTATGTATGTATTTATTTATTTATTTTATTTTATTTTGTTGTTTTCCTGAAAACAATTGCCACCTAATTTGAATAAAATCCAGCAAATTATTTAAGAGGTGCATGAAAAACAAACATGTAAATGAATTGTGAATTTTTAAGTAGACGCAAAGCCTGTGTGAGAAGAACAGGAAGAGGTAGAACATCCAAACTAAGCCTGCGACTCAGATCCAACCTCATTCCCTGACTCACACATGAATACATTTGGGTCCACAAAGTCCAAGATCAAAACATCTTCCTATTACTATGTAAATTAGTGCCTATCACACTCCTACAGTACAGTCAAGTGCGCACACACGTAGACGGCCGAGCCACAACTAGCAGCTTTCAGCTTTGAATGCCAGTAAGTATGCGTCTGAGGCTAATTGCTGCGGTGCTGTTATCAGTGTTACTTTATGGCTCCGAACCCCAACAGTCACGCGGAAATATCGCCAAACAGGAGAAGCCAGACAGCCACTTGATTAAAAATTCCAAAAGCTCCCTTGGATCTGCCCATCAAATTTGTCTGTTACCATGGTAACGCAGGATGCATGCTGATCACCAACGGAGGGTCGTGGGCAAAGGAGGAGGTTGATTAAAGTGAGAGCGTACTCTGACCTTCTGATGCTCCAGCTCATGGCTGCAGAGGACGAGTTAAAAACAGAAGATCTGATTTTCTGGTTTGTGAGTTTGTGATTTCCCCCAAAATAAGAACAAATTCAGTTTTCTAAAGAAAGGAATGAAGTCGGTTCAGCTAGTATATAGTATTACTTCACACTGATGCTGTGTGAACCTAAAACTTGTTCTTTTTACATATTTATTTAGTCCGTCCCTGAAAATGTCTCATTCGTTCTCAATCCCACTGAATCATTCGCATCACTTGATGGTCTGGTATCGTTAAAGGGTTGTCAGGTGAAAAGAAAATTACATTTTCATCCATCCAGGTGTGTGTGTGTGTGTTCGAGAGAGAGAGAGATCGAGAGAGAGAGAGAGAGAGAGAGAGAGAGAGAGAGAGAGAGAGAGAGAGAAATTCTGTTAATAAAGTTCCTAGGAGATAGATCGGTTTCACATAGTGGAGACCTCAGTGTGCTTCCACCACAGGGAACTGAGTGCTAAATTAAATTCCAGGGAAATTTGACCCGAACCCTCGTCTCCAGCTCCCGACCACCCCCAAAACTTCATCCACTCTTCAAGATTGAATAAGAAATAAAGAAGTACACATTAGAGACTGGCTGAGAACCACAGCCTTCCATGTTATTGTTTTCATTACGCTTTAACTATTATTGCCCATCTCTCATTTTGCACCAACTCAGTGACCTCATTACAATTAACAGCCTCTTCCATGATCATCGTTGCAACAGTGTCATTTGAATCAATCATCAATCTGCCATCTGAATTATCGTGACCTGCTGGACTGAAATGGAGTGGATTGCAGATGCAGAAATGCAAAAAATATTTTAAAAAATGTTTCAAAAGATGCATGTTGATTATTTTTACTTTTAATATCTGAACAAACTCTGCAACAGAAGACCTAAAACTCCTCCTATAACTGGTTTGTAAGAATGACTGTTGCAGTTTTAATACGTTACTATATTACACCACAAGTCTTGTAACTCCTCCAAGGTGGCTTAAAATTACTCGTTGACTATTTTCAACAAGTGTCAAAGGTGCATGTCAACAGGTGCAACACTATAAATGGACAGGAAACGAGCCGTCTAACAGCAATGATTAAAAAACACACAAGAAAATATTTAACCAAAAAGTCAAAGTGGTGCATCTTTTGTGGAAATTAAGATTAAAGAGAACTGCAAATCTTTGTTTTCCATTTCAAATGATTCAATTTAATATTTTCATAACTTTGTTCTAATTTGCTTCTCAAATAAGATCAAGTGAAAAATATGACTAAACATTTCTATGAAGTTACGCCCCGCTGACGTATTCAGTAAGACGTCCGGGTTAGATGACTTAGTACAATATTGAATTCAGCTTCTAAAGTAATGATTTTAAATTAACATAATTAATTTTCTTTCACCTTTGTGTTTTAAAAAAGAACACTAAATAGTTTTTAACACTGTAAGCTATCCGTTCAAAAGTGGGGATCAGTGATTGTGTACATAGAAACTTTACCAACTTCACCTTGGACATCAGTCTGCAGCCTTCTGCTGTTTTGCAGGACGGGTAAGTGCCCTAGGGGCAGCTCTTTACCTACTTTATGGCTATTAGCTGTGATGCTAGCAGTTAGCATTTTCAGTTTGAAAACAGTCAATAAAAAGTAAAAAAAGAAGAAATTTGCCTTTTGTTGGCATCATGGCGCAGCCTGGAAGTAAGAGAGTAATGTGTTTGGAGGCAAAGCAAAGAGTGAACATCGGCGCAGCCTGCGCTAGATTGAAGGAGCTAAATGGGGCTATGAAATCATGGACTGGTTATGACCTGGCTTTGTTGCTACTGGAATTGTATTAAAATATTTTTCTCCAACCGTGTGGATCTTTTTTACTTAGTAGTTTATTTTAGCATTAGTTGGCTCACATTAGCGTTATCTCATTGTCAGGGCTAGCTACGGAAGGCTGCGACAGGGTTGTTTATGACAGTTATAATTCCGCTTTGAACCAGTTGAAGGGAAGAGCATGAAACTGTGTATTGTCACTTTAAACTTAATGCTCGTTTCCACTATCGCAACTTCTGTGTCATTTTTAATTTTCCCAGAACTTACCAGTCTCCATTTCACTGGGCTGGCCTGACAGGACCACTTTCTGTATCAGGGACCAAACGTGCACTTGAACTGGGGTATGTACTGTGAAAAGGCCCAGTAGAGTCGCTGGGATAGACTTTAACTCATGCCGATTGGTTGTAAATTAGTAGGAACTAATATCAGCAGATGTAGCCAAACGACCGGCACTGAATTAGACGGAAGATTTGCTGGTGAAGCAGCTTCTTTAAAATTGCCATTTGTAAACTCTCAGTGCTGAAGAAAACTATGAATATCCCCCCACAAAGTCGTAACTTACACTGTTTCATGGTCTTCTGGAGAGCTCTGTAAAAAAACTGTGCTTATGACTTCATGTTATGTCACTTTTTATGTCACTCAGCCACTCCCACCCCCATAAATGAAGTAAATTATGTCATTCGCAACAAAAACCAGACAAAAAAATATCCATACCTCACAATCTCTAGGGTGTGCTGTTGCTAAAGAAAATGCATTTTGGCTGATAACATTCAATTCATGGGCCCTTGCGCCTCCCAACTGGGGGCCTTTGGAGTTTCATGTCCCAAGTGTCAGTGATTGTTTGCATTCCCCGAGCACAGCTACAATCAAAACAGTTTAGATGGTAAACAAAGCAATTTTTGGGTTTTGATACATTAAGATAAAGTAATACTTGAATTTTATTTTAGAAGAGCTGCCCTGTGTGACAGTGCTGATCAGATGGAGGTTGTGAGTTCAAATTCCATTTAGGAAATTTAGTCAGTTGTTTTATTTATTCCAGGGGTCCTCAGCTAAATTTGTTCTAGGTTTATTTTTTTCCAGCAGACACCAGTGAAGGTCAGATGCTCTTCTAAAGTAAAGTTCAAATATCATTGTATCTTAATTTATTTTATTATGATTTAAAACGGCCTTTTTCCCATCTGGGCTGTTTGATTGTGGTTTTAGTTGTGTTTGGAGAATGTGGACGTTGTAGATGTTTGGGACATGAAACTGTAGAGGTGGGGGCGTTAGGGTTAAACAGGTTAACTTATTTTCAGATTTACCAAAAAAGTTTATATCAGCTAAACGGCTTGATGGATTTCCACAAAACGGATGAGAGGACCAAGGTCTTATATTTTCCCTGTCACCTTCCCCCCTCCCAGAAATGTCCCAGACTTCCTACAGAGGAAACACAGCGATAACGTCTAAGAGTGGACATACCAAGACCTTTCGGGGAGATCCCACTGCACTCCAAAGGGTTTATGGCCCAGTAGTAGTACTTCAGGGTGTGCATGAGCTGCAGGACGGTGCCGACACGCCGGATGGTGTTGTATATGGTGGCGGTGCCAATGAACTCGGATGATAAATATGTGTAGAGGGAAAGTTGGACCTGGAAAGACACGCAATACAATTACGCAAACATCAATACCTACGACTATTACAAGAAAAAAAAAAAGCGGAATAGCTATCTACTATGATGACCGAGAAAGGTTTCAGCCTCATCTGATGAGCCTCTCTCAATTCTTGACATGTGAAGAAATCCCCTCCCAATGCTCATTTTCTCCTTCCATCTTCCTGTTCACTCCTTCCGTTCTAATATTCCTCCCACCGACGCTCCTCGTTGATCGCAACTCTCTGAGCTCATTACAGTGACCACCACGCAAAGGAGCAGCCTTAACGAGGTAGCTCTATTTAAGCGGATGAAATTAACAAAAGGCTGCGGTCTGATCGTATCACATCACACAGCTCATCTAGGTTGGAGAGCACACTTAAAAGGCCTTCATTTACATCACATTTCACCCACTGAGCTGTTTTCCCCCCCTTCTCCAATGCAATTCTGTCCGGCGGAACAAAAGTCCGATACGCTTTTATCCTGGCAAAGCAGTCTGGCTGCATTGCTGCAACAGCGGGTTGCAAAAGAGTGTGTTTTGCATCTAAGAGGTGTGCGGTTGCCACAAGTGGGGGGAGACCATGAAAAATACAATTCAGGTGTGATTTCCTCAAGAATGTCATTAAGTTCTGAATGTGACCAGAGTTAATATTGGCAGTAATGAGCGTAATGGTGATAACACCTTCAGAAGTAAAAAACATTAAACCTCAGTGGGACACAGGAGAGAACAGGGGTATGATTAAAGGAATAAAAGAGTGTTTTCTCTGTGTTTGTTGATGGTTGGAGCATTTATTACGCCTGCTTTGTTCTCATCATTACCCTGCCCAACAGTGATCACGTTTGCCAACAACCCACCGTCGTTTTCCGCTAAATCAGCTGAAGGTTAAAAAAAATAAAACACAAACAATGGGCAATCGCTTAGTCTAAATTACTTTAATTTGCTCTGTGTTGACAACAAAGTGTCAGATTGTGTTTTAGCAAACTGTTTACTCTTCAGCATTAGGCGTTTATTTATTTTCTCCTCAGTATTTGCTTGAAATTGCCTCAAAGAGAGGCGGTGCTGCGTCGGGATCATGGAAGTTTTTAAAGTTGTGGTGCTTGAGTGGATGGGCCCCATGGGAATGCCGCGAACACTGAGACCCAGAATGAGAAGCGAAGAAGAGCTACATCTCTCTCCCGCTCTCTCCCCTTCTGGGTTATTTTCAAATGTCACTTTGCCTTTTCCTTCTTGCATGTTCTATCGTCGACAAGGACAAAGAGCCAGCTTCGTACCCGCATGTCTTCCAACCTCATTTATTAAATTATTGTAAAGGGTAACAGCCGCCGAGATGTCAGTCCTGCCTTATTCATGCGTCCAGTCCAAATGAGGACAACAATAATAAAGCCCACTGCCCATCTCTGCAGTTATTCTTTACATTCTGCAGTAACACAGCACACACAAGAATGTTTGCAGAAGATGCACAAACTGAGCCAGACCTTGGCGGGAGTGTGAATCCAGATGGCAGCGTTGAAGAGTATGTGGTCACAGAGCTGCTTGAGAAGAGGAGCTCCATGAGGTAAACCATCCAGGTACTTGGCAAATGACAGGAACTGCTCAAGGACCGCCCTGGTGATGTGGACCCGTGTGGACTGCACAAAGAACGGCAAACAGAAGCTGTAACCTGACCTGACCGAGAAGACAAGCTCACCCTGTTTGTTTTTATTTGAGGACAAACAAGGAAACAATCAAATATTCCAGAAAAACACTGACTATTTACAATTCAACTCATTTTAAACCTTTGAAGTTCTGGTCCATCATTCAGTGGAGCAAATTTAGTCCAAATACCTTAATGAAGAACCGACTTAAAGCTACTATACAGTTTTTTTTATCCGACGTTAAAGCCTGGGGCACACCAGAGACGGACACGCCGCACCATCATTTTAGATAGAAGCCATTATAGTTCATGAGAGTTGGCACACGGGGAGCGCTGCACCGAGGCGCTGATGATAGGCACCAGTTCTATCTTAAGCAACGCCGCTGCTTACGACATTGTGGAGTACTTTACAACAGACATTATGATGCAGAACGGCTTTATGGCACAAACTCAACTGCAGTCTTGATGACTCCAAAGTACTATTGATATGAAAATATTTAAAAAAAAACAGCATACTTACAATTTTTAATGAATTCGAGTCTCATAAATAATGACGGTAGGTCTGATCACATATAAACGTCAGTTCCCACTTTCTATTCAAGTCCTGCGTGACGTTGTGACTATCACGCGGCTTACTAAGAAGCGCTCAGCGTCGCGGCACTTCCTGTGTGACCATTTGACTTCTCAATATTGCGACGCGACGCCGGGCAGCCGCCTCTGGTGTGCCCCAGGCTTAAGCCGTTCTCATCTCTCCATATGTACGTCAAAAGCAAGGCCCCTCATTGGTGAACCTGGACAGCTAAAACATTCTTTTTTTACAAGTGTTATTATCACATTATGGTGTTTGTTTAGATATAAATATTTGGTAACGCTTCCTTTTACAGTCCCCTAATTACTAAGTACTTACATGGTAATTACATAGTAAGTTAAAGTGTATTAATGTTTCTGAGTTCTTAAACAGTTATTACCATGTAACACAGGTTCACTTCTAGTTTTAATTTTATTAATCATTCTGAGCAAATACTGCTTTAAACACTAATTACACTTTTTTACAATTATACACCTTAATTACACAATAATACGCTATAACTTATTATGTAATTACATAATAAGTACTTAGTAATTAGGGACTGTAAAAGGAAGCGTTACCAAATATTTTAATGACTTACTTTTCCAGGAGAAATGCCACCAACCCTATATCTGTCTAGTTATTTCTGCAAACGCTTGCACATGCTCTGTGACTGACATCTGTATGTAACAGGATGTCTAAGGCTATTGGCTAATGCTTAACACCAGCCAATTCAAATTTCACAGGTCTCTACGGGACGGGGGGCAAGCTTCACAAGAAAAAAATTATGTATTGCCTACATAATATCACAGTACAGGGTAGGCTTGGGCGGTATTACGGTAACACCGTATACATCAGCTGTTAAAAATAGCAACTGTGTCAGTTCCAATACAGTCATGAAAAAAACGGTGCACAAAGGAAACAAGGATTGAATAAGTGAAATAAGTAAAAAAAGAGAAATAAATACAAGTTCATGTATAAAACAGATGTGTGGTTGAATTTTCTGTTTTACTTTAATAGTTTCAATTGTTTTGTCTAAATTTTAGAGACGTTCTATAACGTTTATGAATGTGATGTCATCACGTGACCGCGCAGAAGAGATGCACCGAGTGAGACGGGGAGGAAATTGGCAGCTCGCACACCAGCTGACTTGATGTTTATATAGAAACCAACTTCTGCAGTTTGGGAGTTTTTCGGGTTCGAGGCAAACTTGATGAGGTAATTTGGACAAACAAAAGACGACTGCGAAAGATGCAGACCCCAACGTCACAGTGTTCGTTATTCAGTTTCTGAACAGTGAATGACCAAACCAACAGTTTGCTAACTCCAACTGAGGCTTACGTCATCATTTTTTAATCAGTCCCAGTAATACCGTACACCGTGGTAAAATGTGGAGGAAGTTGGACGATATTAACATTTGGACACCACGCAAGTCTAATACAGACTCTCACTTTCACAGATTTCTAAAAAAAAAAATCGTACATAACACTGGAAACAAGAGAAAACTCCAGATTGTAGCTTAATCTCTAAATTATTTAGGGATGAACAACTAATCAGCGTCAACATCGATGATGTTAACATATCGTATCAGTCCAATTAGTAAAACTGGGCCGATATGAACCAATTTTTATTTCTGTCTAGTTGTGTGTGTATCTAAACAAATAAATATGTGTTTGTAATTATATACATGTATAGTTATATATAATCATAATATCTGTAAATATACGTTATCGGCTATAATAGTATTATTAATATCGGGTATCGATATGTTAACGGCTGTAATAGTATTATTAATATCGGGTATCGATATCGGGCCACATTTTCATATCGGTGCATCCTTAATTATCATTATTAATGTTACCTTATATTATTTCTTTAATTGTCTTGAACAAATACAAAAGCAAAGGAAAACTGTTTTATTATTATTGATTTTTATGTAAAAGGGTAGAAAAGAAGTTCTTCCATTTCCTTCACCGTTAACCAGGACCTTCTCAGATATGACGGATCAGAACTCTTCAGACCCAAAGCAACAGGTTTCTCATTTTTAGCAACAACTTTCTTTCTTCGGAAAGTTTGTAGAGATCACAGTCCGTGCAAATCAGTTCTGCACCTGAATGATTTTCCTTATGCGTTTATTTTAAAGACTTTTTTCCTTCCTAAATCTACTTTTTTAATATGTTCTGTTTCTTCCCACAGCAGAAAAAATTCTAAATTATAACTTTTAAAGATAAAACTAATATTTTGTATTTTTATATGGATTTTTCACATTTCCAACATTTACTTGCTTGAATAAAATTTGTTTTAAACAAATAATATTAGTCCGTGTAGCAGATCATTACAGAGATGATAAAAATGAAGGTCTTAAGAGCCTCGAACATCCTCACGGAATTTACGCTCACCCACCCAACAACCAACAAATAGCCTTGTGTGGTGAACGGCGTCTGCACTGACCTTCTCCAGCAGGTACCCAATCACCAGGAAGCCTTTCCCACCCAACATCTGCTCCTGCATGGCCACTGAGCTTTTCAACAGCTCCACCAGGAATGCCAGCAAGGTCGCGCTGCATCACACAAAGTCACACACATTTCACTAATACTGGAATCATTGATAGACTTGTTTTCATCTGAACTGCAGAATGTGAGTTAGGAGGCAGGATGTTCCCTTCACAACTCCTCACATCCACATTCCCCGTCATTTATTTTTTTAATACGCAGCTGTATTTCTGTCTCTCTTATCTTCATCCTCCTGATGATGTTTCATAAATAATCTGTCAGTAGTTGACATGATGGGAAGATGCTGCCTGATAAGTAACTGCATTATGGCCACATATGATGTATTGGTATCAGGGTATCAGGGTGATCTTGCAGCTGCAGGAGAACAGATTTTTTTTTTTAAAAAACAACTGCTCACTCCAGGAAAAACTACCTTTCACACACATTCCCTGCTACCGCAGTCACATGTCGGTCTTTCAGATTAAGGTTATGAGGAAGCAGATTGACATTTTCATAATGACTTGCACATATTTTTTATACCCGCATTTTGTTTCCAGGCTCTTTCTCTTTTCTGTATTTCAGTAAAATCCTTTTTTCCTGTCACTCACCAGACGGTAGTGTCCACACTGCTGTCATTGAGCTGTTTGTAGTCCAGCTGAGCAAACAGCGGGAACAGGACCTGGATCCCTCCTATAGAGTGAATGGCACTGTGGATGGAGTGGGTCACAATGGCCTTCACATCCTGTGGGTTCATAAAGACGCATTAGCGCTGAGTGAACAGATAAAAAAGAATATAAAGCAATGAAATACTAAAATAAAATCAAGGAAGAAGGAAAAATTAATTTTCACCAGTTTAGAGAAACTGGTAACACTTCACAATAAGAGTCCATTTATTAACGTTACTTAGTGCATTATTAAGCGTTAATAAAAAAATTCAATACAGTAATAACAACTGGTAATAGTAATGCTATTAAAGGCATACTATGCAAAATTTTATAATTATTAAATCATTTTCTGGAGCCCTTTACTGGGCTAGTGAAATGTCACTCAGACCCCCACCGCTCTCTGTGGCCACAATACTGCACTTGCAACTTCAGAGTAGCAGCCCAGTCCCTGTTGGACTTCATGGAGTGAAGCTGAAATGTCTGGTGCTGGAGTCTGCCCTCAATACATTTCCTGTATGTTTTAGATCATGAACTGCTCCTATGGAAACTAATGAAGGCTGTTAGTTAGATTAAAGACGAATGCACAACGAGGAGAAGAGTTTCACTTTTGGTTTCACTAACGGACCCTAGGGGATGTTAAAAGCAAGCCAAAGCTGGATTCCTTTAGGTAATGCAATACTAAGCAAACACCTCCCTGGCCCTTTGACCTAAGGACACTTAATAATTAACAATATTTGGAACATTAATAAAGGGATCCTTTGATTTTTAATGCTTACTAATGCACTACGTAATGCTAATAATGGGATCTTTATTGTAAAGTGTTGCAATTTTACTGCAACAAACTTGACTTTTGTAAAGTTTCCACATTTTCAGCTGATAAATCTGCGTTTTGTTTATTACTGAGATCGTTTTTATAAGTGGTGTTTTAGTGGACAGCCTTTCATTCCAAGGTGAATTCATACACATTCAAGGGCTCAGTCCTCTCAGCCATACAAAATCAGCCCTATTAAGACGTCAGCATATCGTGATTGTTTCGAAGTGAGTGATGTCACCAATCAGTGCAATTGAATCCATTCAGGGGAAGGAGAGATCAGCTGTGTTGACGTAATAAATGACCAGAAGAATCGCCATTTTAATGGCGATCTGCAGGAGAACACGAAGCAGCGTAAATTAAAGCATTGTGGGAAGTTCATAAAGTGGAAATGGGCCAAAAGTATGTGATGTGTTCGTTTATACACGTTGTCAAAAGTGTAAGGACATGTATACATAATGTCGGTAAATATTGATTATTGACTAATAAAATCTAATATCGACATTGGCTCAAGTATTCATGTTGGTGCATGTGTTTGCAGGGATAAGGAACCCATCTGCAACCAGTCTCAGTTTAGTTTCAAAGACTCAGTACAAGAAATGTAAAACAACTTTGGGAGGGAATTGTGAACGCAAACAAACTTGAAATTTACATGGATGTTAAGCCTGGGGCACTCCAGAGGCACAGCGTCGCGCCCACGATATTGAGAAGTCAAGTGGTCACAAAGGACGCGCCGCGTCGCTGAGCGCTTCTTGGAAAGTCGCATTATAGTCACAACATCACGCAGGACTTGAGAACAGGATGTGGGAAGTTACTCTATTGTTTATACGTCATCAGACTTGCTGTTGTGTTTTGTGAGACTCAAATTCCTTAAAAATGGGTAAGTATGCTATTTTTTTTAATAGCACTGTAAAGCACTATAAAGTTATCAAAACTGCAGCTGAGTTTGTGCCAGCGGTTGGGTTTGTGCCGTTAAGCCGTTCCGCGTCGTAATGTCTGTTGTAAAGTACTTCACAATGTTGTAAACAGCTGCAATGCTTGAGATAGAACTGGCTTCTATCTTCAGTGCCTCGCCGCGGCGCTTCTGGAACACGGTGCGGCGCTCCCCATGTATCGACTCATTAACTATGATGGCTATTATTTAAAATGACGGCACTGTGAGTCTGCCTCCTGTGTACCCTACGCTTTAGGTGCTTTCAGTGTGAAAAATGATTCCAGCCTCAAATTTGACATGCAGATTAACTACGTTGTGCTGTTGTGCTTTCTTAACCTATGTCGCTTGGTTAGAGTTAAGCCCATGCTATCGAGAGTTCATCTGGAGTCTGTCACTGATGCTTTGGTCATATCCTGAATGAACTACTGTAATGCGTTGTATGCCGGCCTAAGTCAGGGTGCAGTGGAACGACTACAATCAGCCCAAAACTTGGCTGCTAGGTTTTTGACAGGCACAATATGCAGGGAGCATATTACTCCTGTGCTGAACACTCTGCACTGGTTCTACGTGCACTTCAGGGCAAATTTTAGGGTGCCAACTCTGGTGTATTCTTCAGGGAACTGCTCCTTCTTACTTGGCTAGCCTTTTGAACATGCAAGCTCCATCAAGAGCCTTCTGCTTGGCTGATAGGGAACTGTTGGTAGTTCCATGTTAAAAGTACAAGTCACGGGGGGATTGTGCGTTCTTTGTGTTGGCTCCAATGCTATGGAATGAACTGCCTTTAACCGTGCACCAGTCACCTTCCTTGCTGTTTTTAAAGACCCATTTTAATACACATTTTTATATCATGGCGTTTCAGCAGCAGATATTGTAGCGTGGCTTCATTGTCCTGCTCTCTGCACTCTGAACTTGAGACAGTTCTCCACACCTTCATCTCCTCACGCTTAGACTACTGTAACTCTTTTCACGTGTCTGAGCAGAACCTCCCTGAAACGTCTACAGGTGGTTCAGAATGCCTGTGCTCGGCTTCTGACCAAGTCCTCCAAACACACCCACATCACCCCGCTTCTCCTCCAGCTTCACTGGCTGCCAGTCAACTTCAGGGTTCATTTCAAGATCCTGGTTCTGGTCTATAGGGCCTTACATGGACAAGCACCATCTTACATTGGTGATCTTCTTAGTCCCTACACCCCCAGCAGGTCCCTGAGGTCCAGTGATCAAAGCCTACTGGTTGTGCAGCACCAGGCTAAAGACCAAAGGTGATAGATCATTTGCTGCTGTGGCCCCCAGACTCTGGCACTCTCTCTCCCTGAGCCTGAGATCAGTGGACTCAGTGGTCTCCTTTAAAAATCAGCTGAAAACTCAAGCTGGCTTTTGTATGACTTTCTTCTCCTCTCTCTCTTTATTCTGCTCTCCCCACCTATTCCACCTTCCTCAGGATCCACTGATTTCCCTCTTTCCTATTCACTCTCTCTCTTTCTTAACATTTTTTAATCACAATTGTCTATTTTGTGCTCATTTTAAATATATTTTTAACCATTTTCTAAATTCTTTTTTATATTTTTACATTTTTACATTATTGAAGCACCTCGTGATTTTTATCTTGAGAGGCTCTACATAAAAGGTTTCTTCTTCTTCTTCTTCTTCATGTAATGTGAACTTTTTATTAAGCATTATTTTTAATTGTTGTTACCTGTTGCATGGATCAGGTCGAGGAAGGGGCTTTACAAATAAAGTTAAATGACATTAAATGTTGCAACCTGTTCCCATGTAACCAGGCCATATTTAAAACATGTAAAAAGTGCAAATTCTGCATAATTTCTAGTGGAAAATTGCTAATTTCTTTGGTATTTTTCATAAAATTAAATGAAATTTTTTTTCATTCAGAAATATTTTCATTTATTCAAAGCTGAGAAAAAATTTTCTGTCAGTAAATAGAAACCTAGTCTTTTCATTTTCTTGGCCCAAACTGAAAACTTGAATAAATTCCAACATGATCTAAAAAAAAAAAAAGAAACTAATGAAATGTGACTCACTTGTTGCCATCAATTGAAATCGTAGTCATTATTTCCTAATTATGGCTCGATTATTCACACTGAGCTTAAAGACGAAATTGATAACAAGTCACAGATTATAAAGAGCAAAAACACGCTCCGAACCTCCTACATTTAAAGACACTTTGTTCAGTTTAACAGAAACTTCACAAGATTTAGGCTCATTGGTGTTTAGGGAATGAATGTAAAATGGCTTTCATGCACGCATTTTCAATTTTACACTATTTTTGTAGATTTCATGGAAAACCACTATATTGCAGCACTCAAAGCACTTTGAATACTACAGATTTTTCACAAATACACGAGAGGCGGGGGTCAGTCAGCCTGCAATCAAACCGACGAGTGTGCTCATTTCACTTCAATCATTCATTTTAGCATTGCTGAACAAATCAAGAGACGTAGGTGGCGATTCAGAGGCTGACGATGAATACCGGAACCAGAGGATTACAGGTGCACTGACCTGTAACATGAGCGCGTGCGGCGAGTGCACAAAGATGGAGGGGTTTTCCCTCGGCGACGACTCCAGGCAGAGCTGAGCATCCGTCGCTTTGGCGTTGTAGGTGAAGGAGATGGAGCTGGCCAGCTTCCCGTCGTACAGCACCTGCTTGTGGTGCTCGGCCAGGTGGATGTCGCTCTCAGACTTGAACTTGAAAGTGCTCTGCAAAGACAGGCGAAGGGAGAGACATCTTAAGATCTGAGAGACAGACGAGTGTTCAGGAAACTAGAGAAGCGTGAGCGTGTGCAAGTTCAACACCCAAAATGGAGTCTGTAATTGCAGCAGGAGCCGTGTATAAACAACAGAGCATTATCTTAATTAACACAGTGCTAACCCGGACGTTAATTCAATTAGCCGGGGAGGGGAGACGGAGAGGGGGAGCGGATGTGTGGGAAAGCAGCACTCAGGGATCCAGATTCATGTCTTTGTGTTTGAGCTAAAGTTGGACGCGTTTATTTTAATTCAGAGTTTGATTTAACCCTTTGATGCATAACGGTCACTACAGTAGACAGGTACTCAAAATTGTGATTTTTTTTTTTTTGCAATTAAGAACAGCTGTTGAAGACTTTATTGCATTTGAGCCCCTCCACTTGGACTTCAGTAAGTCAAGCCAACTTATTTCATGTTCACAATGCACACTTTCTACTGACGTGGACATGTAATAAATTATTTGAATATTATTAAATGTTACTAAAAATATTTGTTGAAATTTGTTTCATTCACACCTAAAGGATGAATGAAAAAAAAGTAAAAAAAACTCATGTTTGAAGATTTCATAATTCATGCATCAAAGGGTAAATTCACCTTTTTCTGAGATGGAACTAAAAAGTGCTCACGAGCATAACTTTGGTTGACTGACATGTTTTCTTATTTACTATTAACACTAATTTTTCACAGAACACATTTTATTCTCAAACGTTGCCAAAGTAAACCAGAATGAGCCATTTTACTCCTGTTATGTGGAACTAATGATAAACTTTCCATCAACAATTTGACTGTTTTTGATGCTTTTACTAATGTTAATGATCTGATTTTACTTCTGCACATAGGTCAGAGCCTCATGTTGGTAGAGAGCTCTGGGGATTTTGATGCTTTCCTGGGAAATATCCTAAATGAATTAAAGCTAGGGATGTAAGAAAACATCATGGGGACATAACTGACACATTGAGACTAAAATGTGACTAGAACATAGAGATAGACTTACATATCAGTCGGACAATATATTAGATCAATATTTACCATTTTTGTATATATTGCATCAGCCAGTACACCCCTTTAGTAGAGCCATTTTAAAGTCAGGCACATCTGTGGGCTAGCCTGACCAGCCAGCCACGGGGCTGGGAACTCTCCTATTCAAATAACCCCACAACTCTAACTGAGACAATCAGCGCTGGGCAGCGTACGTCACTCACCACGATGCTGAGTTTGTCATAAACATGGCGACTGAAGCGGAGTTCGCTGCAGCTCTTTCCTCTGTTCTAAATGACTCGAACATGTCTTTAAAACCACAAGTAGAAGCTCTAAAAGCCTTTCTTCTAAAGACAGATGTTTGCGCTGTCGCCAGACACCGTTTTTGATTACAGCTATAAATCTACAGCAGCGCGTGTGTGTGTGTGTGTGTGTGTGTGTGTGTGTGTGTGTGTGTGTGTGTGTGTGTGTGTGTGTGTGTGTATTTGTTAGCGGCTCCGCCCTCGCTGACCACCATGTGCCGTGCCATCCCTGACACTGAAGACAGCCGCACGCTGAGTAAACAATTTCAAATATAAGCGACAAGGCTACTTACATATATTCTTAATATTAACACGTTTCTTATTAATGTACTTCCTAAACGTGTGACGTTTTAAGGAAGAACAACTAAAGAAATGGCATGAATATAGAAAGAAAGCAACACAGTAATGATTAAAAATAACTTAAAGGCTCAAGTGTGTTCTCCTTTTTTCTTATTGCATTTCTAAAGTATCAGACAGGGACTCGGTATCAGAAGACTCCATAAGTCGGAATGACTCGGAATCGGACCGGGAGACATTGCTAATACACACACACACACACACACACACACACACACACTTGAGAGTCTCCTCAAAATTTACACACGTCGTCTTATATTTAATACTTGGTCAGTTTGTTTGATTGAAATTGATTTTGATACGGATCACAAAACTTTAATTCAATAGTTGGTTAAACTCGGTGTAATAAACTGATTCAGGTTCAGAAACGTTGTGCATCCACTGCTGTTATTAGTGACATTTTAGCACGGAGATAAGGCAGAAAGCATCTAGATATCAGCCACGAACATCGTCTCAAAAACTAGGCAGCACATTTCAGCCATCGGCCCGTGACCTCCATGTCTCCTCTAAAAGGGACAAAGTGTTCCAGTTCTGACTGAAACTTTGTGTATTTTATAACAAATTGAAGCATTTAACAATCTATAGATTATAGTGAGATACTAGCATCAGTTAACGGGTTTTGTACTTTGTGTTAGTCTGATTCCAGCAATCAATCCAACAAAAAAAAAAAAAAAATACATGGTTAATGGAACAGAAAAAATGTTAAAGTAGAAAACCAACTTTGATGGAAAATGTGCTAAAAAATACACCACAACTTAAAGGTGGTGATAAGTCCCTGCTATGTTTGGTGAATTTAAAACAATATCTACATTAATTCAACAAATTTTACAAATAAAATAAAAACTGTTCAAAATGTCACAAACACTCAGGTTGTAATCCTCGATGATATGACATCGTTATGATACATGAGCCTTAGATTATGACAGAGTGGTTGAAACAGAATAAAGTGTTTTCATAAATGATCGGCCACAACGCGGTCCAGGACGTATACCGGAGAAAACAGATTGTTCCATCACCACCAGATAAACGCGCTAGGGATGGGTACAAAATTAGGTACTTTTTAAGGTACCGACCGAATTCCATAGTACCGACTGAGCACAGATTCACGTCATTTCAAACGGTGCCTCGTTTCGGTACCCGTCCTTCATAACGAGAGCTTGCCTAGACAGCTGCGCATGCGCAAGAGCGTTATGTCATCGGTCGCTGCGAGCGTGTTGTAAACAGAGCAGCATGGTAGAAAGAATGCACGCTAAAGCTTGGGTCCACTTCCCTAAATGTGATGGGTAACTGGGTGATGATGAAACCAGTGACAACGATCTAAGTGAGACATCCTCATCTTAATCTGCTCCGGTAGGTAAATAAAATGTTTAAGACAACGTTAGCTTGATATGTTAGCTTCCGTTTCGCTAATGGTGCGCTCGCTTTCTCCTCGGAACTCCGAATTTCCGACTAGAAGAACATGAACGCGCTCTAAAGTTTGACTTCACTTTATTAAATGCGACGGGTGATTGGGTGAAGATGAAACCAGTGACAACAATCTAAGTGTGAGGCATCATCGTTTTAATCTGCTCCAGCAGCTAAATAAACTGTTTAAGATAACGTTAGCTTGATATGTTAGCTTCCATTGCCACCGTTGTTATCAACTAATGGTGTGTTCACTTTCTCCTCGGAAATTCTAACTTCCCAGTAGGAAAAATCAAATGAAAAAAGACGGCAAAAGGAATGAAGATACACAGTAAATTTAGTTCACAGTAAAGATGTTTGCTTCAGTTTAATTATCAGCTTATAAAACTACAAGGATGATGTTAAAATACAAACAGTTGTATGTTATTTATCATGATATTTACCAAATATTGTTATAAATTGAGAAAAATTTATATTTAATTATAAAAGAGAATTAAACTAATAAACACTCAAAAGTATCGAAAATTGGTACCATTAAGTACCGGTATCGATTCCTAGGTACCGGGAATTAGTACTGGATCGATTCAAATGTCAAAGGTACCCATCCCTATAAACGCCTGCAAAATAAACTAAAATTAATTCAGTAGGTTTGCTCTAATTTGTCAAAGCAAGCTCGCAAATCCTGCGGCGCTACTGGTTCTGCAACATGCATGAAGCCCCCATAGATAAAAAGCTGGTGAGTTACTCTGCTCCCCGTTGCAGCAGCAGCAGCTCCAGGCGGGGCCCTCAGTCTCCAGCTGCCTTGCAAAACCTGACTGCACAGAAAAGCCCGAGGCCGCTCTGAGACCTGCAGGCTGATCTCGCTCTAAATCTTTCATGTCAGATCGGGCTCCAGATACGCATCCTCAGAAGATTTAAATGTTACATCCTCATCGTAATCCGTGCCATCTTGAGTAAGCTTCAAAATAAGAGACGAGTTCCAGACACACCTTTGGTTAATTAATATTTACTCACTTCAGAAGGTGATGAATCACAAGAGCTGCTGTTGAAAGCTTATGTGTTCAAAAAGAGCTAATCTATTAACAACAATGGCGATGTGCAATCAATCATAAATGCTGAATAAATGACTCTGGTTAAAAGGGAAGGTTAGCAGGCCCTCTGCATGGAAAAAAATGAATGGCCTAAATGCAAAATTAATACACTTATTAAAATGCGTTTTTTCTGCGGAGTAAGGCCATTTGCTGTGCTACAATTATTAAAGATGTGCAGATGGGTCTCCAGAGGGAGCTCGTATTTACAGTGATGCTGAATTACTGAGGTGAAATTTTAAAATATGAAAGACTTCAGGAGGTTTCTGACAGACAGGAGAAGCATGAAATACTGTACTTTTATTTCACAAAAGTAAAGTTTTATTCAGCTGAGATTAAAGACATATGTTTCCAACACGCTCACAGGAGCTTTTCTCACACCTGACAGCTGCATACACACACACGCGTGCGCACGCACGCACACACACATACACACACACACCTCTGATTTAGTCAGCTCAATCTTCTCCTCTACAAAATAAATGCCTTCTGACAAACACATAAAGCCTCTAAATGAGTTTGTTTATTCCACTAATAAATGTTTTTCATGAAAACACATCCAGTCTAAGATCTGGAGATTATTCAACATGTTTATTTAGTTTTGACACTAAACAACCATCAGACTAATTAAGTTTACATAAACTACATAAAAGCCTAATATATGCATAAATAAAGTATAAATGCCTTCACATGTTTTTCTTTTCGCTTTAAACTAATTAAATTATTTCTAAAGAACAGCTTCAGTTCAGAGAAATAGAAATGACTGATTTTCACATTGTAAATTTATATAAATAGAAGCCATGCATTCAGAGGTCAAATCTAT